ATTCTTATTGGACGAGAGTCAACACAATAGAATCCACTTGGGAATAAGAATGATGCAATAAGCACATGTTTTGGCATCTTTTGTGTTTCTATTGAAATTGACTTGAACAACACCAATAATTGTTTTGCTCATTAACATGTTATGCCCGCCAATGAAATACGGTTATTTTCGATCCTTTTGTGTTTGCTTTCTCGGCAGTAAGTTTGGCTGTCACTTCACGACTCTACACTTACAAACTTAGAGCAACAGTACTTCTAGAAAGCGAATCAATCAATCAACTAATCATGTCTCTCAGAATGGCTTACAAAGTTCCAATATCTGGCCTTTTTTATTTTGAGTCTGATAAAACAATCAGCATTGTTCCAACTAAGAACATCAAAACTGTTTTGTCTGGCGACAAAGTAACATCAGAAAGCCTTATGGAGTTAAATTATGCTTGTGTCAATCTAAAAGCGGAACTTATTTCTATAAATGGTAAGCAACCTTAAGTTAGTTACTATTTCAATTTCACTCACTGATATATTGGGTAAAGAGTGTGTTCGATATTCACTCATATCACCCTAACCACTAACCATCGCTAACCTAATTTAATTTGCGTTACCTTACTTACCAGATTACCAACCTTTTTTACACCAAGAAGAAGTAAAGTTTGTCAGCGATCCGGCAAATGCTCATCTTTTTCCCAACTGAACGTGTAAGTTACAAAAGAGAAAGCAATCTCAAGACCGCCCTAAGAAGGACAAAAGGCCGGCCAAGGCACAGAAAAAGTCTAAGTCTGTTGAAAAAGAGAGAAAGCAGGTTAGTACTTTGTTATGATCGATTGTTTGACATGAATCCAGCTCCCTCCACACCTGCGACACCACAACACCAGCAGCCTTATCGTAGARTAAGCTTTAGTCCTAGATATTCCGCCATTTCCCCGTGTTCTTCACTGTGTAGTTCGATCTATCAGCCTTCTATATCTACCCTTGATGCCACCTATTCTCACCATTCATCGCCACTCCTAAGAGGACCAGAATCACTTCGCAACATACTTCTTCGAATAGAGCATAAACTAGATGTCCTATTACAACAGCCTCCTCCAGCTCCAACTGCTCCTTATCAGACGCCAACGCCCGTTATCTCTACGCCTGACTCGACTGTAACTTTGCCAACTCCTGATCCCGCCACTGTCACTACACCTTCACCAGATCAACTAGCCAGCAGTCTCCCGATGAACCGAGAAGCGTCTGCAAACCTCCAGATTATTTCGACATCTCACTGTAACTTTGCTGTTAATTTGTTACGGAAATATTTTATGCCAGATGAACTGATCAATAAGAACATTGCCGGTGTATGTGGAAAGGGCAAAGTAGATCC